ACTCATTGATTGCCGCGATTTCCTTGTCCGTGGTAGATGCAGTCTTGATAATTGCGCGACAATTATGCACGTTGGCTACAAAGTTGTTGCTGGGTCCCGCCCTCCCCACCTGATTGATTCTTTTGCTCAGGCAATGTCTGAGTACGCTGTACGGGAACGCCACATCATTGCGCTTGTTGATGGACTGGGGGCCTGAGAACCGTGATTGGAGCAACTCGCGGGTCACGCGGTTGTCATCTCTTGCAAGGATTTCGGCCTCGTCAAACTTGAAGATACGGCCGGGTCCCGTTGAATGAGCTGCTTGGCCACTCGCGTTCGGAGTAATCACCCGTTTTCTCCGAGATAGTTGCCTTGTCCACAATTGCCCAAGATCGCGGCAATTTATGAGACGAACGCGAAGTCTCAAGACATCAGCGAACCAAATTAAATCCCAAGCGGTGGCTACAGGAGGTGATAATTAAAGTAAGCATGCGCATGACCGCTACGAACTATCAATACCTTGCAATCTGTGCATGTATCACCTCTATCCGTGCATGTCTAAAATTATCCTACGATTACCTATAGTTAAGGACTCTCGACAGAATCCGAAACGTCAGGAAAATAAAACTCTAGTTCCAGTGGTCCCATCTTCTTCCTCTAAACTGCTTCCTGGAACTCGCATATATAACTTCTGTTGGCAAGAATATTCTCAGTTTTCACAAAATCATAATATGTGTTCTACCACTCTGACGTGCTTTCGCAATCTTATAACGGGGCCTTTAAGTAAAGCTGTATTCTAAAGCTGCTCCCGTGTATGCAGAAAATTGAGTTTTTTTTCTTTTCAGCAGTAGATCATTCAAAATTGTCAGAAAAATAAAAAACCGGTAACTTTATGGTTTTTATCTCGACTTAAACTTAGAAAAAAAGTAAAGTACGCAGATAGTTGACATCGAAATATCCAAATAAAGCCTTTTTAAGGGACAACTTGTTATGAAAAGCCTTTTAATTGATCTTACGCCTATTTACATCTGATGTTTATTGCGCACTTTCATTTTCCTCGGCAGTGAGTTGACATGTTTGAGGGATTATAAAACGATGCTTTAGAAATAATGCCACAAAACTCACGATTTAGATAAATATGTTTAATATATATCTAATTTCGAATGTTTTGTTAGGCATGTAGAATATACTCCTTGTGTATTGCTAATCGACTGAAGACAGTAAAAATAGCAGTGTAAACCACCATTTCAATAACTAGATGAACCTCGTTATAATAAAAATACCGAAATAATTACAAAGAAATATGGCGAAAGTACATTTCGTTTGATGCACACAAAATAATACTTTTACGATTGAATCCGAAAATTCCATTTAAATGTATAAGTCACTGCCCGGCATTTCGGCACGCGAGATTACGAAATATCTCAATCCTGCGACCTGCAAATCGGTACACGTAAGCAAAAATCTGGTTGCTTTAGTCCAACTTAAATCAAGCAATTTACAAACGGAAGAAACAACTAGCACTTTACATGAAACCATTTTTGATTACGAACTCGAACTTAGGGCTGTTCGGTTACAGTCGTACGTTACAATGCATCTAATATAGAAGCAACTGTATCTGAAAATTTTACAAAAACGTACGTTGATGTCTCAGGTAGCAGCGTCGCAGGCAAAGCCAGGGCTGATTTTGACTGCATCTAGTCGTGTCTAAGAGTGCTGTGATAATGGCAGCTGCTTTTACAGGATTGTGAAGCGAGTTTAAGTGGGGTATAATTGGTATTGAATTTGTCCGAACGGGGTGTCGAGTACTGAGGTTCATGCTGTGT